GGGAGCCCGATGCGGGACTCGATCCCAGGACCCTGGGATCATGACCTGAGCTGAAGGCAGTCGCTTAACCAACTGAGCCACCCAGGCGCCCCCTTCCTCACATTTTTAAAAAGGAGGCAAAAATATTAGAGACAAAAACAGTTTGCACCGGAAGGAGGTGCAGTCCATGGGAGTGCTCTCGCTGCTGTACTCTGCAGCCTAGGCAGATGGAGGGAAGGACCGAGAACCTCACGCTCATGCAAGCCAACAACACACCAGAAGACTCCCTTGCGGGTGCATCCCACATTGCCTACTCACCAGGAGAGGCTACTCCAGAAGGTCTGTTCTGTGCTGCTAAAGACACTAAAAGCAGTGACTAAAGTGCTAATGCTGCTTCAAGATGTGATTACGTGCAGTCAGAACAGGTGGTGCACCAGCAATTTTGGCAAACCAAAGGCAACTCACAGCGCTAAACTAAAAGGAATATAGAACAGTGTACAGAGAAACACGAATTACACAGTCAACACCTCTCCTGTTCTCAGCTCTGGGAGTCCTTCATGGAGAAAAGTCAAAGCCAACTTTGCCTGAGTCTGAGAGAGGAACCCCCCTCCTTCCCCAAGAGTAGAGGGATGGATGATGCCATGACCTTCCTGAGGGAGCCCCAAGCCCTGTGAGATGGATAGCCAGAGGGGCTCACTATGGCTGTATTCAGTAAGGAAATCAATAACAGACATTTTTTTAGAAAGTGGGAAGAAAAAGCAAAGACTTTCACAAATACAAAAATTGTTTACAAAACAATTACCTAAAAAGTTTACTGGGGCTGGGTGGGGAATAAGAATCGTTTTCATTTCAAATTAGTCACATGGTACTAATGGTTTATAAAAGAGAATGGCCAATTTCTGTCTTCCTCACCTCCCCCCCAAACACCTCAGAGTCCTCCTACTCCTGGTATTTTCCCTACCCTCACCCCAACCCACCCATCCTGTTCCCCAAATTAATTTGCCACAAGCCAACCCCGAAGACACATGATTGTTGGTTGGGTTTCAATTCGACAATGAACCTAATGCTGGGGAAGAGAACAAAAGGACACAGGAGCACACTGGCATAAACTTCAAGGTGTGTGGACCTTGGACAAGGCTTCTGCCACACAGAAGCTTCTGCCACCAAAGCGCAGGCTGCAGACTGAGTTCCGCTGCCAGTAAACTGAGGTAAGGAAGAACATGGTGGCTCTAGCTGGTTGGCTTCCTGTGGCGGTACAGCATGTATGTGCTCTTGGGTGTGGGCACCACAGGACTCATTTCCTTCCAGTTGCCTTTGCCATTTTCCCTTCTGGTTAGAAGATTGCTCTTTACAGAGTCTCAAAAGATCAGCCACTTGTCTTCCTCTGAGGTACAAATCCAATAGAGCCTTAACTCCAAAGATCCAGAGCCCACTGGTGCGCAGAAGTCAAAATCAAATGCTCAGAATCAAAAGGTGTGGCACACCTGCCCAGCCAGTTTATCAGCAGTTGTAAAGACAGATCAGAAAAAACTAGCATTTAATATAAAAAGTGTTTTTCAAATGGTGTAATTTCCTATCCTCTTGTGAATGAAGATCATAACTCTTCTCGTTTCTGAGGTCCTATGGAAAAGGAGAACAATTGAAAATAAAATAGTTTACCTTCAAGTTACAAAAATACAGCCTGGATTTTTCCCCCAACATTGTAACTTATTAATTATGGCCCTACCTCCCTTTTATCTCTCTTTATAATTTTAGGAGCTTTGATTTGGTGTGCTTGTATTATATTTTGAAAACAAAAACAAAATTAAAAAGGCCTTTTTGTTTTTAAAAACACTGAAAACTACCTGCATACTCTAGCAGAACTGTTTTCACAAATACAATATTTACTTCTGATAAAAACACATATATTTTTAGTCAGGATTCTTTTTTCGCTTAATAACATAGAAACATTTCCCTAAGTAAAAGTGCAGCTCATGGGGCGCCTGCGTGGCTCAGTCGTTAAGCGTCTGCCTTCGGCTCAGGTCGTGATCCCAGGGTCCTGGGATCAAGCCCCACATCGGGCTCCCTGCTCGGCAGGAAGCCTGCTTCTCCCTCTCCCACTCCCCCTGCTTGTGTTCCTGCTCTCGCTATCTCTCTGTCAAATAAAT